TATATATATATATATAATTGTCAAAAGAATTTAAAGTTTGAGACTTCTTTTGCAATTTAATGATTTTCATAGTCAAGTTGAATTATAATGTAAAAGACTATTTTAAACTATTTATATGACATATGTTTCACTTCATTCTAATAGAATTACAATAATGTTGTGAGTATAACCATCTAGGCAACAACACAATTATATGATTTCATTCTCATATGTCTCTACGTAGTTTTGTTACATATGTAATTGTTTGTATAACTTTGATAAAAAAAATTATAAAAGAAAGAGCCATAAATGGTGTTAAGCTGCAGTCCTGCACAAAGGGGTTGTATATCCACCCTTAAAAAAGAAGTATCCGTGCAAATAATATATTTTCGCGCCTTTCATAGACCCATGTCTTCTATGTTTAAGGTTCGTATTCGTAAAATGCCCACATTAAATTTTTTCCTATAAATGGTGGTGAACGAGAAGGGTCCAACATGAGCATTTGTCAAACAAAAAGACCCCATCATTTATTAAAGTTTTGTTTATCAATAAATTAATATCTACCTCGATTGCTTCTTTTTCAAATTTAATCAAATTATTATTATGTTTTCGTTAAAATTACGGCAAAACAAAAAAAAAATATCCAACTTATTTTCGGTGCGGTTGTTAAAAAAAGTCACTGTGTTATTTTATTTTTGCAAAAAAGTTATTGTATTATTTTTGAAAATTTAAAAGGTCTTTTCTAGGTAAACCGACATATTATTATGGTTCAATTATTAGAAAAATCATTTGTGTCCCACTTTTAAAAATATTATTATTAGGACGTTGGCCTACCAATATTGGTTTATGTTGTAGCCTTAATGGTTCGTATTTCTAAAACGGTCCATATCAAAATTCTTGAACTAAGAGTAGTGAGTGTGAGCAACTAGTTAAAGGGTGTTATCACATATGTCATGTCAAAATGGTGTTATGACATCAAATGGAGAAAATGGACAACTTATTATAACATCTTTAACTTTCCATGTCATCATTTATTTATTTTTTGCGTTTTTTTTCTTTTTTTCAATTTATTTATTTTTGATTGTTTTTTTTCAATATATATTTTTTAATTACATTGGATTATCAAAAAAAAAAAAAAAAAAAACGAAATATGCATTTTAATTAACTCCTAGATTAACCATAACATTAAAAACTTAAAAAAAAAAACACTACACACCAAAATGTGTCACCACGTATGTCATGTCAAAATGGTGTTATAACATGAAAGGAGGGAAATGGACAACTTGTTATAACATCTTTAACTTTCTATGTCATCATTTCTTTTCTTTTTTCGTTTTTTTTCAATTATTTATTTTTGATTGTTTTTTTCAATATATATTTTTTAATCACATTGGATTAATAAAAAAAAAAAAAAAAAACGAAACATGCATTTTAATTAACTCCTAGATTAACCATAACATTAAAAACTAAAAAAAACATTACACACCAAAAAATAAAAAAATTGTCCTAAAAACTAAAAACCGATCAACTAGTCATCCAAATATTGTCTTTTGATTTTCTCCTTCATCTTCCGGAGCACTAGCGCTTCTCGTGGTCCTATATTTGCTTCGATAGTCTGAAGAATTGTAAAATCCTTCGCCATCTGATCTTTCTTCACTTGCTTACGAATAAACTCCAAGTGCTCACGTTGCATATCAACCTTTTGTTGGGCGATCAGATTGTGTTGGTTAAACATTGCTTTCATTTCCGTCAACTCTTGTGTCCTTCTATCAATTTCGTCCGCGTGACTTTGAGCACGTTTCGCTTTGTCGCGTCCAATCGGTCGGCGGGGGGGGGGGGGGGAGATCTCTTCGATGTCGTCGGGGATATCATCCGTGTCTACGTTGAGGTCGACGTCCGTTCGTGCGTTGGAAACGTCAAACGAACTAGAATTGTGAGACCTCTTTGATTGTGCCTCTGTAACACCCCGTTTATTAGATGATGAAATAGATAAAATTTACGAACGAATAGTAGCCCTAAAATCCAAAATATTCAGTGAGATGTTGGTTTTGGGAGCCAAATATTATAAATGGGATTATTCGGGGGTCAAAGTATAAATTTGGGATTTATTTGAAAAGATTTTTGGAAGCTAGGGGCTGAAGGGTAAATATCAGATTTTATTTGAAGAAGATTTCCAAAGCCAGGGTAGAAAGAGTAAATATTGGATTAAATTTGAAAAGATCCTATAGGGAGGGACCAGAATTGTAATTATGCAAAAGATTTAAAGTGGTCGGGGATATAACCCGCCACCCTCACCATGTCAAACCCTAAACCTAAGAGGTTCCAGCCGCCATAAGTGAAGTCAGCCGCCACCACCTCCCTTTTGTTCGCTATTCCGATCGGACGAAGCTGCCCGCCGAGGAGCGCCACCACTACGTTGCTGCCGGAGATGTCTTGGGCAGCCGAAGAACCGCCGAGTTTCGGGGAAAAACCCACTGTATCGTCGTTGTGCACGTCGTGAGCCGCCGGGAATGCACAGTAAGTCGCTCTTAACCTATCCTTCCTCTCTTCTCTTTCGTTCTTTGGTGGGTGTGACGCCGGAATTGTCACTGCCACCGTCGGGTGGCCATAAGGTGCTGCTGGTGCGTTTTTCCGGCGACGTCTGCCGCCTAGGCGGTGGCTGTGGGAGTGTGTGTTCGAGTATACGGGTTGCTTTCAGAAATTGTGGTGTAGCATGCGTGTTTTTTGGCCGGAAATACCCGAGAAAAACCACCATGGCTGCCAACCATGGTGGTTGCCACCGTGTCATCTCTTCCTGCCGCCACCAGCCACCATGTGGAGTGGTTGTGTGTGTGATTTGTTGCGTGTATGACCGCATCTTGTAAGGATAATGTTGTGTAGATTTTTTCTTGGCCAGGAATCGATGGAAACTCATCCCCACCGCCTGCTGCCGCCGCTCCGCCATTGTTAGCCACCATCTCGGGTGGCTGTGGGCTTTCGGGTGCATTTGGATTGATATTTGGAATACCTTTGGTGTTGTATTGGCCGAAGATCATAGTCACCACCACCGTGAGGTGGTGGCTGCCGCCATGTACCACCGCCGGCCACCACTAGGGTGGTTGTGTGTGTGTGTTTATGTTAGTTAGTGTGTGTGTTTATTTTTTTGGATTAAGCATTGTAATTGTAACTAGAAAGAAGAATAATGAAACGAAACTCAAAACCACCACCGTGAGGTGGTGGCTGCCGCCACCGGCCGCCGTGTCGGGTGGCGGTGTGCTTTGTTTGGATGGTGACTCGTTTGGAATGGTTGGACAAGGGGACTAAAACCCTAATGGGCCTAATAAACCTTAATTGATCAAAAGACCTAACTATTGGGCCTATCGGGCTAAGATGGGGTTGGAAACCCTAATTAGGGTTTAGAAAACCCTAATATTAAATTTATAGGCCTTGGACTTATTGGGACCCACTTTTAGGCCATTGGAATGGAGTTGTAAATTACACCCGATCACACCATATAACTTATCTAGTAGAGTGATGAACTTAATGGATTAAGTCCTTAATGGGTTAAGTGAGAAACACTTAACCCTAATTGTCATTTTATGTTAAACCCTAATTTCACTTGGGCTTTGTGTTGGGCCTTTCCATTGGGCTTTGGTAATTGGATTATTAATGGGCCATCCAAGAATGATCATATGGACTAGAATATGTTGATGGTTTTAGGATAAGGCCCATTTGAGATTCTTGGGCCCAATTTGGAAAATTGGGCCATTGATGGACCATTATTGGGCCTTTATGATTATGTGATATCGGGCCATGGGAATACCAAGAGTTTGGGCTAGAATAATTGGATGGGCCTTAAGGAAAGTGTTGGATTAGTGTCTAAGTCCATAACTATAATTGGTATATTCTTGACCCGACCCGGCATGGTCCATTTAGGTTGCATGGCATCATGCATTTGGATAGACTAAAATGAGAGAA